ATTCCGGAATTCCGTGATGGAATCACACCATCTCTCCTCACCCTCACTTGTTGTCTTGTGTTGCAAAGTTATACCCTTCCAAAGACGACCGAATTCCGTTACGGAATTACATCGCACACGGAATCGGTGGGAATTAGACGGTATTCCCGGGAATTCCTAGGAATTCCTACTGATTCCGTCTCGGACACAATTCCGGAATTCCGTGATGGAATCACACCATCTCTTCTCACCCTCACTTGTTGTCTTGTGTTGCAAAGTTATACTCTTCCAAAGACGACCGAATTCCGTGAAATACGGAATCGGTGGGAATTGGACGGAATTCCTAGCAATTCCGGAATCTGTGGGAATTCGCGGGAATTCCTAGGAATTTCTACCGATTCCGTCTCGGACTCAATTTCGGAATTAGTTGGAGGAGTTCCGGAATTAGTTAAAGAAATTCCGGAATTACTTGGAGGAATTTGGGAATTAGGTTGGAGGGATTCTGGAATTGGTGGAACTGATTCCGCGGGCGGAACTGGTTCCGGAATGTGCAACATTGCGGAATAGGATGACTGCTCACATTTATATTCTTTCGTTTACACTTGAACCATATTTTGAATGATAATTTCAATGTGGAACTGTTATTATAAGCTTACAAAAAATCTTGATTCTTGTAAGTTTTTGAATATCTTATAAAATATTTAATTTTTATTTCAGACGTATAGTAAAGTTAATGCTCTGCATCCATATCTTGAAGAACATCATCTTCGATTTACAATAAAAATTTTAAATGTTCTTTATACATATAAAAAAGATTATGAACCATATTTTATTTATTGGTTATTACCATTTCAATTATCATATCGTGATGAAAAGAATAAAGGTAATGTAATATTAATCTTTTTTTTTTGCATATTTTTATTTCTTTTTCATAGCTGAAGAAATTTATGTTATTGCAATGCATCTTGATTTATTTGTTCGTCATTGTTTTCCAAAATGGACAGATGTATTTACAATTGCAAGTAAAATAATGACTGATCTATCAACAATTGATCCAGAATTTTATGATCATTTGAAAACAATATCAAAAATACGTACAAAAGTTAATCCAAAGGTAAATTAATTAGTATTAATAATTGATTTAATAAAAATTAATGTTTGTCTTTTTTTGTTTTTCTAATTAGGATTTTGTTACAGAAATTATTTCATTAGAAAGTAGACAAAGTGGTAGTGCAACACAATATGCAAAAGAATTAATGTCTGATCCAGTCATTTTTCTTAGAAAATGGATTGGTGAAGTAAGTAAAAAGTTATATGTCGTTTGAAATTGTTTATCTTGAACATAGAAAAATAAAAATACATTTTCATGAAAAATTTTCATTCAAAAGAAAAAGTTCGTAATCAATAGCATCGCTTAAATATGCCTTTTTGAAATTCATAGGAACTTTAATGAATATATGTTTTTAAATCCTATTAGATCTATTTTATAGTAAGGACACAATAATAGTAACGATGGTACTTGCTCCAGAACCTATGAATACTCTTTAAATACTGATCTGCTAAGCATACATATTGTATTGAGAAGGAGTAGACAACACAGTTCCAGACCCTCACAGTCTGCTGTTGTCTATAAGCTGTTGTTGATATTTCTTGATATCTATTTTCATGCGTTCTACATTTTTTCTATTAGAGAACAAACGAATTTATTTCATGAGACAAAAAATATGTATCTCCCTCGGACAAAAAAAACGCCCTTTTTCCATTTCATTTTTGCATCACTTAATAAGTTGTTTTAGAAAAACAAAATATACCAGGAGATGCAGCGTGAAAAGAACTACAATGTGCAAAG